CCTTCCGATCTGCGCTGGACGACCGCGGCGACGGCGGTGGGACGTCGTCCACGGCGCGCGCGGGCGCGGGCGCGGGGGCGCGGCGCGAGGCGATGGGGCGACGACGGGAACACGGGCTGTGGCGACGGCGATTTTTGAACGAGCTGTCGAGCGCGACGGCGCACGCGGAGTGCACGCTCGCGGACGCGTGTGAGCTCGCGTACGGGTGCGAACGGTTGAGGGAGGTTTTTAGGCGCGCGCACGGGGCGGAGAACGAGGATGGGGGTGGGACGAGGGAGGGATGGCGCGCGCGGTTCGAGCGGGCGACGCCGAGAGACGTCGCGGCGGCGCTCGGGGAGATTCGTGGGCTCCTAAAGGTCGTGGACGAGGAGACGTACGCGCGAGGGATCGATGGTGACGCGCACGTAGCGATCGAGGGCGACGAACCGATGGGTGAGCGCGGGCGGGGGCGCGCGGGGGCGCGACGGGCGGAGTGCCCGTTTTGCAAGAAGAAGTTTGTCGAGAGCCACTTGCCGTCGCACGTGGCGAAGCAGCACACCGGGGCGCGTCCGGTGAAGTGCTCGCACGTTGGATGTGATGAATACTTTGCGGACGAGCGCGCGATGCGGCGACACGTGGTGTTGATTCACGAGCAAAAGTACAAGTGCGGCGTGTGCGGCAAGGCGTTCTCGACAAAGCAAATGCAAGAGAGACACGAAGACTCCGCGCACGCGGAGAGAAAGAAGACGATCCCATGTCCAGTTGATGGGTGCACCGTGATGTTTAGTAACGTTGGAAGCATCAGTGATCACATGAAACGCGCGCACTCAAACGCAAAGCCGTACGCGTGTACGTATCCGGGGTGCTCGGCAAAGTTCGCGACGTCGTCGGATAAGGCGCGTCACTTCCGCACGCATTTCGGCGACAACGCCCGGCCTGGCGCCGCATCGCGCAGTATGAGCGTGCACCTATCGCAGAGTCGATCGGAGTTGGTCAGAAAACGCGCGCGCGCTAGGAGCTTTGAAGACGACTTGGTGCCAGAGTTGACCGATCCATCTCTCATGTCGAAATGGTTGCTCGTGGGCGGCGACGAAGCTTCGGAGTTGTAAACAACAATAACTTGTATTTCGCATCAACGTTTGCTATCATTTACTCAGACCAAAGTGTCCGTTGTACGTCGCCGCAAACTGGTACTCTGCTGCTATCTTTCTACCGGCAAACCATCTCGTGTGGAGTGCCTGCTGCGCGCGCGTGCTCGACGCGACGTCGGCAAACTTGAGATACACAAATCCTTGGCTGTCCTTGTCCACAAAGGTGTGTGTGATCTCACCAAACTTTTCGCACTCGCCCTTGACGTCCTCGGCGATGTCCAACCACCACTCGGGATCCGTTTCTTCGGCGGCGTTGAACAGGTTCTTCAGCAACAGACACGGTGTCGGGATCGGTGAACCTGGACCGAGAACACCCTGCGTGATTGGCTGCGCCGCAAGCGGTAGATCTTCGCCCGGCGCATCGATGGGTTTGATGGCGTCCACCGTGGTCGGTAAACCCGTGGCGGGATCAATGGTGAAACCCTTTTCAATCTCCTTGTCTTGACCCGCCAATCGAGCCATGAGCGCGGCGCGACCGCGACTATCCATCTTCAAGCCGCCGCCGTCCTCGTCGAGTTCACCGAGAGACTCGGTGGGCGCCACCATGGTGCTCGCCGCCGCCGTCGCGCCTTGACTAGCGATGGACACGCGAATCGGTATCCCGACGAGCTCTAATCCATTCAATTGCGACAACGCCAACATCGCCTGCGACGTCTGTCTGAACTGCACGAACGCACTCGCGTACTTGCCGTCGTCCTCCTTGAGCATTGAGATGAAGTCGAGCTGGCCGAACGGCTCAAACACCGCCTTGATATCGTCTTCGCTCAGCGCGAGGTGCAAACCACCGACTCGAAGCTTGCACGGTCCGGCACCTCCCCCAGCGCCGTACACCGCCGCGCCATACGCCGCACCGAGTTTTTTCTTTTGCGCCTGCTCCGCCTCCCACGCGATGTTCTTCTCCGCCTCGCTCGTCTTCACCGAGATGGCGTTTCCGTGCAGCTCCATCCCCGTGCACTCGAGCGCGGGATGAATAAACTTTCGATCCGAAAACTCCACGTACGCCATCCCCTTGCTCGTCGTCGAGTTCCTGTCGTAGATGATCCGCACGTCCGTCACCTTTCCCACCTTGCTGAAGAATTTAAAGATCCCTCGCTCGTCGAGCTTCGTACTCAGATTGGTGACGAACACCGTCCGCGTGTCCCGATCGAGTTTCTCCATCTCCCGCTTCTGCCGTTCCGCCTCGCGCTCCTGTCGCTTCCTCTCCAGTTCTTCCTCTCTCTCCGGCGTCGACAGTCGCTCACGGTCGCGAGAATCATCCCGTCTGCGTCTCCGTCCGCGTCCGTCTCCGTCCCGTCCCCGTCGTCCGTCGCGATCCCTCGACTCGCTTCGACTTCGTCGTCCGCGCCCGCGTCGTCCGCGGTCGTTCCTACCACCATCATCATCCGATCCACTCCATCGTTCCGAGCGATCGCGCGAACGTCGTCGTCGTCGCGTCGATCCATCGTCGCGCCGTCGCCGCCCGTCGGAATCTTCCATGATGTCACCGTCTTTCCGCTCGCGTCCCTCCGCTCGGGTCTCCCTCGACGCCGCGACGCGCGCGTCGCGTTCGAGGAGTTCCCACGCGTCGTCGCGATCGGCCATCGCGCGAGGCGTCGTCGCGTCGACGTGTGCGGCGCCGTGGACGCGTCGACGCCGTTCGACCGGACGCGCACGCACGTATACCGGTTGATTTATCGCCATGTAATGGACAATGGACGACCATCACCCATCACACGACGACGCCGACGCCGCGCGACCCGGCGATGGAACGGGGACGACGCGTGTCGAATCGTCGATCAGTGTACACTTTGATATACGTGCTATCCTCGGATGCGTGGGCGGGGACTGCGCGCACAGAATCCGCGCGCGTTGGGCGTGTGCCGCGCCTAGAAAACAATACAAGAAGGAAAAAATGCAGAGAGAAATATAGGTGCGCGCGAGAGAGGAGCGCGAGAACGAGAGCGCTCGGAGAGACACTCGAGCGCGCGCGTACATCCAGAGCGATGCGGGTGTGAAATGTTGACGGACGGTCCGTCGCGTTACGCGAGCGTCGACGCCAACAAAAGCGCGCACGCGACGACTGCGATGGGGCGGACGCGCGACGACGTGCCGCTTGAGAACAGATCAAAGAGCCCCCCGGAGGTTCCGCTCGATGTATTCGTATCCCCGGAGGTTCCGCTCGATGTATTCGTAACCCCGGAGGTTCCGCTCGATGTATTCGTAACCGGCTTGAACTCAAAGTTGACTTCGTAAAAGGCGCCGCTGTCCTGACCGTTTGCGCCGTGCCCGCCAGCGCCAACCATCGCGCGCGAGCCCGTGAAGGCGTAATTTGGTTGTGAGTATCCGAAAAGGTCACTTGGGGCTGCGTCATTCGCGTAAATGCGCGTTTTTTCGACCCACGTGAACGCGTTTATGCGTTGGAAAACGTAAACGACTCCGGCATCGGCGCCCCTGTTACCTTGAGAGTCACCGTACGGGTGCGTTCGAGTGTCACCGATAAGCGCATACTCGCCAGAAATGTCGATTGTCCTGCCAAAGTACTGAGTTGCGTCCGGTGGCTCGATGGACGCCGTGAGGTACCAGTTCGATTCGTTGCGCTCGTACACGTACACGGCACCCCTAGCGGAGTATATGTCCATGTAAAGCTGGTCTTCGCAGCTTATCAGCACGATTGAACCCGTGAATGCACCACGTCGACACATAGAATAAGGTCCTATGGAAGGCAACTCCGCCTCCAGAGTCCACGATGAACCTGAGTATTTGAAAACAAATGCACGATCTTCGGCACCGTGATAGATGCTACCTTTGTACATGGTCACGAAGAGTCGATCATTTTCAGCTTTCTGCATACGATAATACCCCGGGGCAGGGGCTCGATTGTGATAACCCGGCCAGAAGTTAGTCACTTCTAAAGGTATTCGTGTGTCGTATACCCATGTCCCGTTCGACAAAACCTTGTATACAATAATCATTCTTTGCCATCTGCGCTGTGCGTCTCGTCCATGAATGAACGCACGCGTCGCAGTCAATTCAAACCGTTGTGAAGAAGTCAGATCGACGTCAGCGGGTACCGTGAGAATTTGAGTTTCCGTCCACGTCGAGCCTATTCGTCGGAATACGTGTATGGAGGATTTTGACCCAGTGCTGCCTATGAACGCAGTCTCACCAGAAAGTTTTACATATACACCAAAATCCTCGAATTGCGACGCGTTCGAGGGAGTGAGCTTGTGCGTTTGCGTCCATCCTGCGACATTGCGTTCGAATATGTATGCGGCGCCGCGCGATGTACTCGTCACGTCGTCTCTCGCGTAGCCTACAAGAGTGACGTTCCCAGATGTAGACATTCGTTGCCCAACCCTATCACCAGCTGATGCGTCTTCTGTCGTAAACGGACCTGATACGTGGAAGGTGACGTTGATATCGTTGGATGCATCACTTTGGACGTCCCCGCAAGTGCTGCCCGTCCATGCACCGGCAGACATAGTCCACGCACTTGGCGGGCCCGTGGTGTGCAGTGAACCGTCACTTCTTTTGTGCGTCGCGAGCCAAGCGTTCGCACAGTGGAACATGGCGAATGTTTCGTTCGACAACAGTAGGGGAGAATCCCACACCGTGATGTCTTGATCAAAGCGCGACGCCGACGCGAACATCGCTCTCGTTGAACGCACGTTGCTGACGTTCCACGTTGATATGTCTTGATTGAACTTTGACGCATATGAGAACATTCGTCGCATCGTGACGAC